TCCTTCCTTCCTTCCTTCCTTCCTTCCTTCCTTCCTTCCTTCCTTCCCATAGTTTATATTTCTTAATATAAGATATCCCACCTCTTTATTTCATGATGCATTCATATAACTATTATATAACATTCATCTTAGTAATGTTCCTTTACTGTTTGCAAACAAAATGGAACAAAAGAGAACAATAGATTTAGAATAATCCAGAATATATTTGGCACTTTTAGATGCTGCTTAATGGAACAAGAGCTGTTTTAACTGAATATAGTGTTATTTTGAAAACTGCAATTATCTTCCAGTAATTTAGATGCTTTTAAAACTTGGTTTTGACATAAATATTAAGGGCTTTATTTGCCAACGATTGCCCACACTCATCCAAAAGTTGTATTTGCAATTTTCAAATAATTTGAAAGTTTTTTGTATCAGCAAGAGACAATATTACTTTGCCATCCAAAGTTCTTCTAAATAAGTCTTGCAATATTAAATAGGGATAGAACTACAGCTGGTGCCAACTCACTACTGTGATAGCAAAGGGGTAACCTGATAATATCCTGATTGTACCCCCCAAATATATAAAATGTAACTATGATGGAAGCTGCCATGCCTTGCTTCCAGGATGACAAAAAATGTCATACTAGGGTGGAATGACTTTGTCCATTAGTGTATTAATGTTATCACTTAATATTCCCCACAATAAGTACAGTCTAAAATGTGTCTGCCTGACAAGTTTGTCTTCACTAGATTAGGTTATTCATCATGTAGAGGTTAGGTCACATTAAGAAAATTACAAATGCACAAAATACTCCTATTAATGACCGTACTTTAAATATACTGGAAAATTTGTTATTTTGGAGTGATGCTATCTGCATAGTTTGGCAATGATTAGCAATGGTATTATGACACAGGATAAGACAGCAACCATCCATTTTTTAAAAGTCTTATTGAAGTATTCAGAACATTTCATCCTCATTTTTCAAAATCAAAATCTACATTCATTTGTCTGCTTGCTAAATTATATACCCCACCTTTCTCCAGAGCTCAGTGTGGCGTATACAGGGTTTCCTTCTCTAATTTGTCTTTACAAAGACTCTGTGAGATAGGTAACCTTGGAAGCATCAATGAGATTAGGTTGAACTTGGTGCATTAAGTCTAACTCTAAACCTAAACCTAATGCTAACCCTGACCAACCCTAATTCTAATCCTGACCCTAAACACAAAAATAATAATAAAAAATCTTGGGTTTTTTTTACAGCCATAATGGGCTGTCATAGGTCCACCACCACCACCACCCCAAAAAAGAGACAATAAAGACCAGAGTTTGTAATATATCTAAGTCTGGTCTTATGCTTTGTCAACTGTTGAAAATGGCATTTTGTCAGATTATATAAAAGACATTCCATTGTTCACATGTTTATATGATGGAAGAAGTAGTACCAAGTGGTTGCTTTTTACAATTCTGTAAAGTAAGCCTATATTCTTTTGTCCACTTGGAGTTGAAGGGTTGGGAATGGGAAGAAGGGCATGTAACAGCTGTGTA